GTGATGGGCAGCAGCTGGGTTTTCCCTGACTTGGTGTCCCTGGGTCCCACACAGGTTCTGGTGGGCCATCAGCACCCAATACATTTTCAGCCCATGTTTGGCAAATGAACCCGAACTTCCAGCTGTCCTTATAGGGCTGTCTCAGAGGCACCAGAATTTCACTTCAGGTGCTGCTGTGGCATAAACTTTGCCTTAGAACCTACCTTGACCCAAACCAGACAAATAACAAAACCTATTAACCTCAAGAGGTGCCAAGGAGACCTGGGAAGGGTTAAAAGGGGCAGACCAAGCAGTGGTGCAATTTTTAAAATTCATATGTGACCTCTTACTGAGGTTCCCCACCCCACGAAGCAGCTGTCACCCCCGTCTTTACAGGGGATGAACCTGGCCCTGTGAGATGGGCAAGGTGACCTACCAGAGGCGACCCGTTAGAAAGCAACAGACCCAGGTGAGAGCATCTAGTGTGGGGTTTGGCCTTAGGTGCTCAAAAACAATGTACCAGAAGAGCAAAGGAAAGAACATAATGACCCAGGTCTCCGTCCTGATACTCTTAGCATCCTATCACCCCAAACATCCATTCTGGACTGCTCAAAATCTGGTCTGAATCTAAGAAACGCTTGCAAAAAGATGAACCATTTCCTGGAGTGAGCTCATCGTTCTAACAAACCCCAGTTCTTGTTGGTAGGTGTCGTTTATCAGCTCCGATAGGATTTGAGAACACCCCTTACTATCGTTATTTTAACACAGCCTCACTCTGGAGCAGAAAAACTGCCCCTTAAAAATATGGGGAAAACAACAGTATTCACTCTTTGTATTTCTGAAATGTTTCAAAACCAGTTATTAATAAGAAAATGTACAAAGCCTAATAAGAAAATGTACAAACTGCTCCAGGATGTATTATTTGTTCTTTCCTTTATTCTTACTTCCCTCCTCCCCCACTTCCCGAAGGACATGAAAAAGAAAAGAAAGGGCCCAAATTCCCAGGTTTCAATGATCTGATACTTTAATTAAGGAAGAATAAATGGGTCACCTCTGTCAGCTTACAATCTGCAGCTGCATTAAATGGTGTTCCTTTGGTATAAACCCAATAGCCACAGTGAGGCTTTACTGTAGCAGAATAAAGACGAAAGCAGAGCTCCCACAGGACTGACCAAGGTCACTGTGAAAACCAGTGTAGCACGAGCGTCAGACCTGGAATTCCTTGACTCTGCTTGCTCTGTCCCGGCTGGTGTCCAGGCTGCCTCCCCACGAGGAAGCCTCAGCCAGCTGGTAGGTAATTACATGTGCTAACAGTCACTGACACTCCAGCTGCCAACACCACGTCCCAAGTTCCCGCATCCGTTAGAACACCAAACTACCCACACTTTTCTAAGGCTGATTACGTAGAGAGGTATGTTTGGCTCCAAATGAGTCAGAACTAGGAGCCTGCCTGGGAACTTTGAAGATGAATGTCTGGGAGGGTAGAAAGACAAGTCCACTTGCCAAGTCCTCCATCCTACACCTCATCTGCCTCACAGTAGCTGTGTGACCTTGGACAAGTCCCATAACCGCAACTAGCCTCAGTGCTTCTATCTGTAAAATGGGATAATAAAGTCTGCCTTGCGGAATTGTTGGGGATGGCACACCATGAAGACTGTTAGTGCAAGGTGGGCGTCCAATACCTATTTGTTGGCTATCTGAATGAACAAAACTTCTTTGATCCCATCCCCTGAAAACTGGAGACAGTAATTCCTACTTCACGTCACACTAAATGTGATTGGGAGATATATGTATAGATGTATCTGTATGTTGACCAGACTGAAAAATAGGTACTCTTAAAAACAAAAACAAAAACAAACCGGCTCATTGTATCATGTACTGAATTTGGTCTAGTTAATGGAACTTGTCTTACACTTACGATTTAGGAAAATTTATAATGAAACACTATATTTTAGTTTTCTCTTGGAATATGATTTCCAAATGATGAAAATTTGGCTGGAACAATCAATTCGTATAGTTTGTACACACAAATCATCATCCTGCAGACGAAAGAGTCAAGAATTGTGAGGTAAATCACTAAAAATAGCCTAGAGACTCAAGTGGAACTGACTTCCTTTGTTTCGCTGCTCTAACTGTGTGCATCTTGGCCTGCCAGGTGATCACAATCACATCCCGAATGGCAGGGCTGATGCCTCAAACTGGACAGACATTGAAATGGAAATCCTTGGTGTGACTGTCAAACAGCACATATCTGGTCACTAGACCATGTAGCAAAAGTTCTGTGTTGGGGAAAGAGCATAGAGATGACAGCAGCCCTTGGAGCTCCTGTTCAGTCTATGGAATTAGCATATGAAATAGAAGCGTCTGGAAGAAGGTTATCAGCATCCACCAAGAGGGCTGACTCTAGGTCTAGGGTGAGGACCAGAAAAGTTGGTTATATCTCTGGGCGTCTGGGTTTGATATTCAGCTCCTAACTCTGTCACTTAGTACCTGTGTGACGTTGGAAGAGTTACCTAATCTTGTTGGTCTTGATTTCTTCCTCTGTAAAATGGGGAAGCACTACCTTCCCAGAGAGCAAGAGTGTTTGTTTTGAGGCTCACATGAGAAAGTGTTAAGATAAAACAATACCAGGACTTCCCTGGTGGCGCAGTGGTTAAGAATCCCCCTGCCAGTGTAGGGGACATGGGTTCGATCTCTGGTCAGGGAAGATCCCACATGCCACAGAGCAACTAAGTCCGTGCACCACAACTACTGAGCCCACGTGCCACAACTACTAAAGCCCACGTGCCTAGAACCTGTGCTCCGCAACAGGAGAAGCCACCGCAATGAGAAGCCTGCGCACCACAACAAAGAGTAGCCCCCGCTCACTGCAACTAGAGAAAGCCCGCGCAGCAACGAAGACCCAACGCAGCCATAAATAAATAAATAAATAAATAAATTTAAAAAGAAAAGATAAAGCAATACCTAGGTATGAGCCTGCATTATTACTGCAGGGATAGTAGAGGTTTAGGGTAATGTTCACTTCCTTTTAGGCATTGTCTGTGTGGGTCCTTCATGTTCATGACCCTGCTTTGTGCTTGCACCAATCTCCGAGGGAGCTGCTATTATTATGTTCATGTATGGGTGGGGAAAAAGGTCCAGAGAGGTTAACGAGCTTGCCCAAGGTTGCACAGCTAATTAGCCATGGTGGTGAGATTTGGACCCAGGCAACAGGACTCTGGAACCCAGACTCCCAACCTTTAGGCTGTGGGGTTTCCTGAGAGCATGACAAACAAGAAGTGCTTTGTCGGCAAGAGTTAAGGAAGCATCTTACTTTCCTTGCCACCCAGCAGTTTCAGGTTTGCTGCAAGGAAGAGAGCTGGAGTCTGAAGGTCATCCCAGGTCGGAGCTGGGGACAGTGAGCACGGGCAGTGGGAGTGAGCCTGCACGTAGCGTAGCCATGCCCATGAAACAGGAGGCAGGAGAGTCTGGTGGGCAGAGGATGGGCTTTGGAATACGAGCTACAAGGATCGCATCCCTGATATCTCCACCTATAAGCTGTCCCAGCAACGGCTTCCCAATCTGTTAAAATGGGAAGCTTATACTAACCTCAGGAGGCTGCTTCAGGGCTCAAAGGAGACAAGTAATGAATGCAAATCTCTTGTTGCAGTTAATAACAGGCACATAGTAGGTGCTCAATAAGTGGCTGCTCCCTTGTCTCTCTCCCTGAGACCTCTTGTTATTCTAGGTGACAAGATGTAAGGGATGGTGGTACAGACAGATTCTGTCTAGACAGAAACCTGAAGAAAGTACAACTCAGTGGTTAGAACTATGGGGGCCTGGGGGTCTGGGCTGCCTGAATTCATATCCTGGCTCCACCACTTACAAGTCCTGTGACCTTGGGCATGTAACTTAACCTATCTGTGCCTCAGTTTCCTTATCTGTAAAGTGGGCATAATAATAATGCCCACTTCATACAGGTTGGAGAATATTCGATATTAATTAATCTGTGTAAAGCATTTAGAACAGTGCTCAGCTTATGGTAAGCATTCAATAAATGCTTGCTGACGTCCATCAGGCCCCTGCATGTTCCTGGGCTGCGGGGCATCTCTGGGCCTTCAATGGGCTATACTTCATACTGCAAACCCTCTCTTTCCTTGAAGACCTCCAATCATATCCTGGAAGGGTGGACATCTCTGCAGCCTGGCCACATCACAGGCTAGATGAACTTTAGAGGAAGGACAGTGTCTCATCTGGTGGGCAATGGGGATTTGAAAATGGTGACAATGACCACCTGGACAACAGTGCAGGGAGTCAAGAAAGTACACCACATATGCACACACACCTATGTCTGTGTGTCTGTATCTTCTGCATTTAGAACCAGGTTTTGACTCAACTGAGAGAGTTGTTTCCTTTCTTTCACTTTGGATAAATGTGAGCCCCCCTGCATGGGGTCTCTGAGCAGCCCGTGAATAATTCCCACCCTGATGCAGGAGAGACCTGGATGCAGGCGTGAGAGATGGTGGGAGAGTCGCTCCATCCCCGTGCAAGTGAAAAAGCACAGGCGGGCTCTGACCCAGCCAGAAATTCTACTCTGCAAGGTTTCGCTAGTAAACTACAGGAAGACAATAATTTACTTCTAATGGAGAGAAGGAGAGAGGGAAGGAGAGGGAGGGAGGGGGAGAGGGAGGGAGAGAGAGGAAGAAGGAGAATAGAAAAGAAAGAATATGAATCGAATCAAGGCACACCGATATCTTGCAATCGAAGAATCAGGAGCCTTCCCACAGAGCCTTGCTCTTGTCCTCCTCCATCCCTGCAACTCGAGGAACCTGGTCATTGTTAAGCCGGCGTCTGTCCTTTAAACCAGCGAAGCCTCGATCTCAGCGACGGCAAGGCTGCCGGCGCATACCGCCCCAGGCGCAACCAGCCCCGAGCCCCACGGGCTGCGGCCGCTCTCCCTGCACCCGGACGCGGGCTGGGTGTGCGGGGAAGGGCGCCCTCCCTGCGCCCCGCCGCCCCCGATCTCCCGCTCGCCGCCCTACCTGAGCTGGCGCGGTTCGCAGTCCACGCCGGGCAGCAGCAGCCGGGCGGCCTGGCGGACGTCGTCGCTGTCCATGGAGAAGCTGCGGCGGTGGCCGGCGTGCGCCACGGCCACCCGGATCCACTCCATCAGTGGCGGCAGCACGAGGAAGGGCCTGCGGCGGGGGAGGGAACGAGACGCGTTTAGGGGGGCCGCGGCGGGAGCTGCCGGCTCAGACCCACCCCCACCGCTCATCGCCGACCACCCCCCACTTCCCTATCCCCACCCCCTTGTCCCTGGAGTCCCTGTCTCTCAATTCAAAGTGGGAGGACCTTTGGAGACATCCGGACCGCACTGGTGACCTCGGGGCAGGCTCTCCTGAGTCTTTGGGCCTCAGTTTCCTCATCTGCAAAACGGGGATAATGTGACTGAAAGGCCACGATGTGACTCTTCTGTGAGTGTAATCTTCCTCGGCGGTCATGTGAACATGAAGGAGATGACTCACTTAAAGCACCATGCACAGAGTCGGGTGCTCAGTATAAAATCCAATCAACTCCTGGGGTTTTTAGGACTTGGGGCTCCCCATGGTGAGGCCAATCGTAAATCGTCCTCCAACTCTCTCTTCCCACCCCTAGCTGCTCCGTGTCATCATTCTGGAGCTCTCCCAGGCCTCAGCTCTGCCCAAGCACCAAGTCGCCAGCAGGCTTTAGCGTCTGGAAACAGAGGAGCCTTCCCGGAGAGACCGGGCAGCCCAGAACTACCAGCAAAGTGCGGGGGAGGAAGGGGCGGCACTTTGGGGCCTCGGCCACACCGCTGAAGCTTTGGGAAGTCTCCTGCTCCCACGGGGCTCAAGGGATCACAGCAGTGGTGCAACTCGCCGCCAGAATTCATGAGATAATGCTTAAGGCTGAACTATAACTTTCGAAGTGTAATACATTTGTGCCATCTTCTTATTTCTTCCGGTGATTATCATAAACTCCATCCTCACATTAGGCTTGAGGGCAGGGGAGCTTTTGGAAAATACTGATACCTGAGTCCTATCCCAGGAATTCTGATTTAATTTATCTAGGATTGGGCTGGACATTGGTAGTGTTTAAAAACATCCCCCAGGTGACCTTAACGCACATCGGAATTCTCCGGAGGGCTTGTTAAAATGCAGATTGCTGGGCTCCACCCCCACAGGGTCTGATTCAGTAGATCAGGGGAGGTGGCCAAGAATCTGCCCTTCTAATGAGTTCTGGGGCCATGCTGATGCTGCCGGGCTGGAGGGGCAAACTCGAAGAACTGCTCTAAGGTATGGTATAGGGCCTGAGAATCACCTGATTTTGAGTGTCTGTGTGTGTGAGTGTGTGAGTGTGTGTGTGTGTGTGTGTGTGTGTGGTGGGGGATGCAGATTCCCTGGCCTTATCTCCAGTGATGCTGATTGCATAGGGTCCACGAATATAATTTTAATAAGCAGCCCATATGATATTGATTTAGGTAGACCAAGGGCCACACTTTGAGAAACGCATGGTGTAGATCAAACAGGTGTCCTACCATTCAACGTGGTTATGACCAGGGTGAGGCACATGGGGCGCCTGGGTGCAAAATTTAAGAGGGTCAGATCAAGTAAATATGTTCTAGCAGCCCTCTTGCCTCACCCTAGCCCCGGTGGTGCTATTCAGTCCAGCATGGCTGCCACGGGAGGGAGAAAAGGTTGGTAAATAAAGGGTTTATTTACCCAAGGCAGCAACCCCCTCACAGTATGTAGATGTCACGAGCTTCCCCCCCAGTTTTGGTGGCAGGTTCCAGTTTTCTTAGAAAGTAACCTATTTATCCAATGTTAAGATTAAACAGCTTTTACATTCATCTCAGTTAATCCCATTCATGATCTCATCTAAATGCTTAGGACCAACCTACAAGCTAGTTATCCATTTTCTAGATCAGAAGAATGAAGTTTATTGAGGTTAAGTAACATGCCCTGGATCACAAGGTTAGCAAGTACGAGAGCTGGGAGTCAGACCCAAGACATTTGACTACATAGCCTATGTGTTATAACCCCATGTGGTTCCCATCCACGTTCTCTTGTCCAACTTCCTTCCCAGCACCAGGGGAAGCCGATCTCGTCTTGGACCTTTGATGGCATGCCATTTTCATTCCTGCTCATGCAGCTCAATCCCCTGTCTGTAAGGCCTCCAGCCCTTTAAAAAGCCACACCCCACTTAACCTTCAAACCACAGTTCGAATCCCACCTCTCCCTAAACATTTCTCCTGAGGACTCCTCCCAGCATGGACCCCTCCCATGGTAGCCCTCACCCCAGTGGCCTTACCCATCAGCCTTGCAGATTCCGCATTACAATGTAAGCTCCATGGGGCAGGGACCTGGAACTGCTGGGTTCACCGATCCAGCCCCATCCCTACTCCCAGGGCAAAGCCTGGCAGGCTGTGAGCACTTAATAAATAATGTGTTCATGAAATGGACTAAGATTTATCAATTCCTTACTGGGTGAAACATAAAATCAAGCTTCTGGACCCATGGACCTGTGGGGCAGGCTCCCCGGGAATTTCTGCCCAGATCAGCCTGCTGCTTAGGCTGTCGTCCTCATTCTCTCAGTCTCTCCATCACCTAAACCTAATCAGGAGCTCAATAAACACACTGACTTGAAATTGAATTGGATTCTACGGTCTCAGGTGAGCAGGACTTATTTTGGTCACCATGTCTCCATTGCTGCTAAAACCAGCCCCGGGTACTCAGAGAATGCCCCTCTGGGTTGTATTTTCAGAGGCAGCACCCCCAAGCCCTGGTCTGCCTTTCCTTTGCTCAGTGCCCCCCAAAGCATAGCCCACAGCTCCCAGTCCCTGGGGGCGCTGCGTCTCTAGCACAGACTGCCCTTCAGCGGTTGCCTTTCATGTTAGATGCTGAGGCCCAGGGCACACAGCCAACTTCTGATGAATACCAAAGAGGAGAAAAAGAGGCTCTAGTGCCTTCAAAATAACACCTTTACCAAGACAGCCGGCGAGCACCAGAGTAAGAAACCTTGAATCCCAGGATTCTGGCCTCTTCTGGAATTTTCTATGTACCTATTTTTCCCTTTCATCATTGCCTTCTTTTTGTCACTCTGACCTCAATAGTTCATAAGCTCATGAATTCTTTGCCAGCAACTCATCTAAAAATCTTCTTATCTTGGCTACTCAGAAGGAAAGAAAAATAGTATTATTTGTGATGTTTCTTTTGGAGGAGTTGGAGATGGGAAAGAATGCTAGGGTCTTGAGTTAAGGAGAGGGTGGAGAATACTGTATTCTCCTGATATATTTTTTAAGACAACAATGTTCCACTGGCTACGGACTTTGTTCTGAAGTTGTCTGTAGTAACTAAAACCTAGAGGAAGCCCAAGAAGCTCATGGCTTAGTGAAGTAGATTCAACCTCAGAATCTTGCAGGGTCAAGGGTTGGGGGAGGTTAGGAAGGGGGTGTGTGTGTGTGAAAATTGCCAAGGCCTCAATTTGACCCCCAGAGTTTTGGTTCAACAGGTCTGGGATGGGGCCTGGGCATCTGTATTCTAAATAAGCTCCTCTGGAAATTTGGGAGCAAGCCAGGTTTAATAACCCCTGAGCAGGTGGCCTGAGGTGAACAGAGGGGAGACACGGTCCATTCAACAGGCCAGTGGCCATTAAAATTGTTGCTATGGTCTTAAAAAACTAAAAATAGAGTTACCGTATGATACAGCGATCCCATTCCTGGGCATATATCTGGAGAAAACTATAATTCGAAAAGATACATGCACCCCAATGTTCACAGCAGCACTATTTATGATAGTCAAGACATGAAAACAAGCTAAATGCCCGTTGACAGATGAATGGATAAAGAAGATGTGGTACATATGCACAATGGAATACTACTCAGCCATAGAAAGAATGAAATATTGCAATTTGCAGCAACATGGATGGACCTAGAGATTATCATACTGAATGAAATAAGTCAGACAAAGACAAACATCACATGATATCACTTTTATGTGAAACCTAAAAAAAGATACAAATGAACTTACTTACAAAACAGAAATAGACTAACAGACATAGCAAACAAACTTATGATTACCAAAGGGGAAAGGGGGGAAGGGATAAATCAGGGGTTTAGGATTAAAATTACACACTACTATATATAAAACAGATAACCAACAAGGTCCTACTGTATAGCACAGGGACCTCTACTCAATATCTTGTAGTAGCCTATAGTAGGGAGGGAATCTGAAAAAGAATTACTTGGCTGTGAGCCTGGGACTGGCACAACATTGTAAATCAACTATATTTCAATAAAAAATTAAAAAGAAGTAAACCCTAAAAAAAAATTGTCGCTAAGGCTTTTGAAGAGAAGGTTTGTAGGAGTGGGACCAGAGGTTCTAGAAGGGAAAAGAAAGCCTAGATGGGTTTCTTGCAGGGTCAAGAGAACAAGTCAGCTCAGGAAGGTTGTTGGGCCCAGATTCAAGAAGGACATACATGGGCGGGGCCTTTCTAAAATGCTGAAGACAGAGCTGGTGATGAGGGTGACCACCCAGAGTGGAAAGGGAGTCTTGCGGGGGAGGGGCTGGGTGCTAAAGAGGATGGTGGGGTATGTGGGAGAGCCTGGTTTGTTCAGGATTCTGAGGAACTGAATTCTAGTCCTGAATCTGCCAAGAGCTCACAGCAGGACCCTGGTTCTGGTCTGTCAAGTTCTGGCTCTCAGTGTCTTCATCTGTAAAGTGGGTGGGTTTGGATCTGAGGGTCTATTTCAGGGGTTGGCAAACCTTTTCTGTAAAGGGCCAGGTGGTAAATAGGGTTTATGGGCCATACACTTTCTGTTGCAACTACTCAACTCTGCCATTGCAGTGAGTAAGCAACCACAGACAATACATACATGACAGAGCTGGCTGTGTTCCAAGAAAACTTTATTCACGAAATCAGATGGTGGGTCACAGTTGGCCAACCCTGGGTCTGTTTGATTCCTTCCTACTCTGAAATTCTTTGATTCTATCAAAATAGTCAGCTGCCTGGGGACTTAGGGTGAGTCTAGTGTGCAGATCAGGAAAGATGGGAAGAAGCACATGAAGGTCCTAGCAATGGGCACAGAAAGCTTTGGAGAGATTAGAAAATAGGACCCTTCCAAAAAGAGGTCATGGGTGGATCTGGGGAATATTGAGCTACAGGCATACTCCGAGGAAGAACCTTCAAGGATAAAACTCAAACCTGGCCATGGGTGTGTAACTGATAAAATGTCATCTATTAATAGCATTTTTTCATCCAACAATCCTTTAGGGAGCACCCACACTGCAGGTATGCTTCCAGGAGCTGGAGATGGAGTGGAGAACAGGATGCATCCATGTTCTCATAGAGCTAACAGTCTAACAGGGAGACAGATAAGAAACCCATAAACTAACAAGTAATAAAGCAATTACAAACTGTGATCAGTGCCAGGGTGCTGGGATAGAGAATAAACAGGGTTGACATAGGTTGGTGGGAAGGCCTCTCTGAGGAGGTGACAAAACCTTGAATATGTGAAGGAATTGGCCATACGTGAATGTGTGTGTATAAAGATGGATGTTCTAGGTGGCAGCAACAGACTGTGCAAAGGCCCTGAGGCAGAAAAGACCTTTACAGCTCAACCAAGGCCTTTCACACACATCATGTCCTCCAGGACAGATGGGGCAGCCAGGACATGTGTGAGGAAGGATCACTGTGGTTGGCTGGATAATGGCCCCCAAAGATATCCGGTCAGTTCCCTATGAATACTGATAGCAAAAGAAAGTCTGCAGATGTGGCCCAGCTAAGGATCTTGAGAAGATTAGCCTGGATTATCCAGGTAGGCCCTAAATGCAATCACAAGGGTCCTTATAAGAGGGAAACAGAAGGAGATTCAACACAGGTGATATGGAAGCAAGATGCTCTGCTGCTGGGTTGAAGATGAAAGAAGGGGCCACAAGCCAAGGAATGCAAGGGATGCAGATTTAGAAGCTGGAAAAGATGAGGAAATGGATTCTTCCCTCAGAACCTCCAGAAGAAAACAGCCTTGCTGACATCTTGATTTTGGCCTGGTGAAACTGACTTTGGACTACTGACCTCTAGAACTGTACGAGAATAAATGTGTGTTGTTTTAACCCACCAAGTCTGTGGCCATTTGTCACAGCAGCCACAGGAGACTAAGCCAGGGTATTGACAGGGTCGCTGCAGGTGAGGTTGGAGACATGGGGGTGGAGAATGTGAATCAAGTATTAAAGCTGGGAATGGGGGCATTCACAGGGCTCTGGAATTCATCTCGGATGCCTAAACTGCCTTGTTCCTGAGGTCCAAGCATTACTTGTTGATATGGGCTGAACTGTGTCCACCCCAAATTCATATGTTGAAGCCCTAACCCCCAGAACCTCAGAATGTAACTGTATTAAAATGAGGCCATTAGGGTGGGCCCTAATTCAGTGTGACTGGTGTCCTCATAAGAAGGGAGACTGGGACACAAAAAGAGACACAGAGGGGCAGCCATGTAAAAGATGCAGCAAGAGGGCAGCAGTCTGTAAGCCAAGGAGAGAGGCCTCAGAAAACACCAAACTCGCTGACACTTGGATCTTGGACTTCCAGCTTCCAGCACTGTGAGAAAATAAATTTCTTTTGTACAAGCCGCCTTTTTTATTATGGAAGCCCCAGCAGACTAATATGCCTGTGGCTTGACTTACACTTTGCCCTGCCCTTGAGGTTTTAGTCTGTGGTAGAGGAGCTTCTATTGGAAGCTCACACTCTTTACAGTGTGATGGTTTTCTGTTCATTTCCTAGGGACAATAGTGGATAAGTTAAAGCCATTTGAAAGCTGTCCCATGCGGAAGTCAGAAGTTTGGGCTTTGGAGACAGGCTGACCAAGAGCTGGATTCCAGCTCCACCTTCAAGCTGTGTGACCTTGAACAAAGGACAGTTGTCCCTTGGTATCCATGGGGAATTGGTTCCAGGACCTCCACAGGTACCAAAATGCTCAAGTCCCTTATATAAAATGGCATGGTACAGTTGGCACTCTGTATTTGCAGGTTCTGCATCTGCAGAATCAACCAACTGTGGACGTGGACCCCACGGATATGGAGCATGACTGTATTCCGATGGTCATGCCTCACTTCTCTCACCGGGAAAATGGGGATAATAACAGTACCTATGTCAGAGGGTGTGGCTGACACAGTACCTATGTCAGAGGGTGTGTAA